TTTATTATTAAATTATATTTAATTTTATATATCTTTCTTCTTTACTTTCTCTTTTTTCTTTCATTCTTTTTTGATACTCCTAATCTTAATTTCTTCTTTTTTCTTTTTCATTTTTCATATTTAATTTAATTTTTAAAATACCTGGTGCACATACTCGAACAAATCTTAATCATTCGTACGTAATATCACTAGACCACATTCTACATTTAAATATTAAAATGAAGAAAGGAATATTTTTTTTTACGATTATTTATTTTTGTTGTTGTTGCACTCGTATCTTAATATTACGCAGATTGGAAGAGTTCGAACAGGGATTGGTAACCTTCTTGGTCGATAATGAGAGCATCAAAAATCCTGAGGATCGTCTATACGAGTACCTTGATGTCTCAAGGAAAAAGAATTCTACCGGACGTGATGAACGGACGTACGATAAGAAAAAAAAAAGATCTTTCCAAAAATTAAAAAAAGAAATAGAAAAAAAAGTAAAAAACACCCGAATTTCGTGTGCGCTTATTCTATTTATGCGATTTATCATGTTTTAAGTTGACTATCTGTCGATATTATAATTCTCATTGGATTAATCATTTTCATAATTTCAATAATTAAAACCCTTTCAATTTTATTGACGCATATTATGCGTTTGTCAATAATATTTAAATGTTGGTTTTAAACAAATTGCTGATTATTTTGTATATTGTCAAATGAAAATGATATATGTAAACGAAATAACTTTGATTATTATATATTATTTATTATTGGTTCAATTTTTATGAATAAAAGTTCAAAGTATATATATTTGCGCCACACTTGAATACGTTAGGATTAAAATTATGCCAATAACAACGGCAGAATCAACTTAAGACAAATTAATATGCCATTTGTATTTGCTAGTCAGTTTTTGTTTTGTAATTTATTTCAAGAACAAAAACTAAAGCTTGCGAAAGTCTTTCACTATGTCCATCGTTTTTTGTGTCCCCTATTTATCCCGAAATATTTTAACAGATATTTTTTTTTCGTTTGTTTAAAAATTGGCAATCACTTTTTCGCTTTTTCGTTTCCATATTTATGTAACGGACTAAGTTAAAAGAAAAAACAATACAACTGAACAATAATTCAATTTATTTGACCATTAATTATCTCAGATAAGTCAATCGTAGAATATCAATTTGTGGTATTTTTTTTTTTTTTGTAACTTTGTCCATTGTAATATTAAACGTTACAATCACGAAGCCTATATACAAGGAGGACGATCTTACAAGGAGACCTTACGGATTTTAACGAGCTTTGGTATATTAGTAGTATACCGTAAGGTCTCCTTGTAAAATGAAGTATAAATTACGTGATATCTGACTTTTTGTTTGTTAAAATAGACTTACACTATTTTCAAAATAAACGCTCCATATTATTATTATTATCATTGGTAACACGAGATTGCATTTCGCAGGGTTTTTCAAAGCCCTTGGTCGTGGGTGTGCGTAGCTGGTCGTTGCGAGAGAAGGGCCGTAAGATCGTCAAAAATATCTTTGGCAACTTGTACAGCCCTTTGTGGTGGTAACACTCGTCTTCTCTGGCCAAGACCTACGGGGAATGTTGTTTTAGGGGACGAAAGCGTGACAATGCATTTGCAACAAATCGAATTCGTCACATTAAATACTAGCGATCGTGACGTTAAAACATTATTGGAGTACGCCAAAGACGTTTTCTTAGGTAAATTATTTCATTAATTTAATATTTTACGGGGAACACTTGGGAAAATCCGAAAAAAAGAGGCGTTTTTGGGCAATTTAGGAAACAGAGAAGAATTGTTACGGACTTTTCCTAAGCAATGTTGAGAAGAATATATTATCAGGCCCCCCCCCCCGCCGTCCACAGTCAACATACACACTCGGTTAGAAATGTGAGAAATATGAATACATTTCCTCCATTGCCTAAAAACGGCTGCCATTGTGAACAATGTTTACGCAATGTTTATAATTCCGGATTTCCCAAATGGTCCTTAACAAACATAATGGAAGTAACGAACACAAACGATTATATATATATATAAATGTTATTTTATTTGTAGGAAACGTAAGAAGTTTAATACGAGTGTCAAATGCCAAAGGTAGATCAGGAATCGATAATTTTCTGATATATTTGAGTGCCGGCAATTCGCGGGGGACCAAATTGACAATGGACACGGACGAATCGTACAACCTGGAATTATTTTTAAAGGGTAAAATTTTGGAGGCCCATATAACGGGAAAAAGTTATTATGGTGTGCGTCACGGATTGGAAACACTCGGACAAATGATTTGGTGGGACGAGACGGGCGAAAGGCAAGGTTCGCTGCGTGTATTATCGCGTGCGTTCATCGAGGACAAGCCAGTATTTTCATATCGTGGTCTACTCGTCGACACAGGGAGACAATTCTTCGGGATCGAGCAATTAAAAAGATTGATCGACGGTATGGCTGCCTCGAAACTGAACACCTTTCATTGGCACCTAACGGATTCTCAGAGCTTCCCGTTTGACTCGGTACAGTTTCCGGAAATGGCCAGGTGGGGTGCTTACAGTGGGGATCAAGTTTACACGCCTGATGACGTTAAAGATCTAGCTGATTACGCAAGAATAAGAGGAGTTAGGGTACTCGTTGAGATAGACTCTCCTGCTCATGCCGGTGCCGGTTGGCAATGGGGTGAGTATTTATCATCCAATGATCATGATTCATTTTTCTTTTTGATTCGTTAAATATTCAATTGTAAAACAGAAATCGTTTGTTTTAGGAGCCGAACACGGTTACGGCGAGCTAGCACTTTGCGTTGACCAACAACCTTGGACGTCATACTGCGGTGAACCAAACTGCGGTCAGTTAAATCCGATAAACGAGCACTCCTATAGAATACTCGAAGGTCTCTACAGAGAATTGTTGGACTTGACCGAAGTTAGGGATATCATTCACCTTGGAGGAGATGAGGTTAATCTAGATTGCTGGGCACAGTATGGTAATATAACTGCAGCAATGCAGGCACAAAATATGACCGATCATCATGCCATGTGGGCGGAATTCGAAACGAAAATGTTGCAACGTTTGGTTAAGGCAAATCACGACGAGATACCGAAGGCCGTCATTTTGTGGAGCTCGCCGCTTACCAAACGTCCATACATTACCACTTATTTCGATCCCAAGATACACGTCATTCAATCTTGGGGTGGCAGCAATTGGCTCGAGACGTCTGATCTTTTGGAAGATGGTTTTAGGGTTATATTGTCCCATGTAGATGCTTGGTACTTGGATTGTGGATTTGGTAGATGGAGGGAAACCGGTGAAGCTGCCTGTGGCGAGTATCGTACATGGCAAACGGTTTACAATCACAGACCTTGGAAGGAATACCATCAGCAACAGATTAGTTTAATTCTTGGCGGGGAAGCTGCAATTTGGAGCGAACAAATGGGTCAGGCTTCTTTAGGACCACGAGTATGGCCAAGGGCGTCGGCTCTCGCTGAAAGATTATGGTAATTTTGTTTTACTATGTTTAATTCCATGTTTAATTCTATTTAATTATAATTAAGAATTATACAATTAAGAATTGCACTTATAATTTGAGACGAAACAATATACGCAAGAACTTTCGGTTAATCCTAATAATATTTCCAACGCGTTGTACAAATGAAGTTGTAGATAATTTAGAAGAAATTGACGTTTCATTTTGACAGTATTTGTACCGAACATAATATTATTACTATTATTGATTTTTTTTTCTTTTTCCTTTTTTTCTTTCTGTTATAATATGGATGGGTTCTATCAAGTATAGCACGTACATACATGCGTGTACAGTACGACAAGTTTCAAGGATAATATTACTTTTTTCATTGCTACGATTTAATCGTTATTTTTATAATTAAATTTAGTTTACTTTATTATTATTATTATTATTATTATTGTTAATATCGTTATTTTAGGAGCGATTTACCGAGCAGCGGTTTTTCAACCGACGAAAGCGTGTACACGAGGTTAGCTGCACACGTTGAAGTGTTAACAAGTCGAGGAATCAAAACTGAAGCCATGTGGCCACAATGGTGTTCTCAGAATCCTGGTAAATGCCTCTGACCGATCGTCAGATGATTGATAACGAGCGTTATTCTATTTTATGGATCGTGGAGATCGATTGCTACGATAGAACGCTAGAAACAAACCAAAACGGAAAGCCATAATCTCTTGACGGAACGCTTTAAGCATCGAGAGACAAGAAAAAAGGGAAATAAATTCGGATGATGATGATTAAGTCTCGAGTGTGTAGAATTATCGCTAGAATTTTGTTATTAAAAAAAAAAAAAAAAAACTGAGACATCGATTAGAAAAGTTTTCATCGATGTGATGATACTCTCGTGACTGCCATGAATCCTCGTGTTTGCGTTTACGATACTTGCTATACATAAGAATAAGTTATAAGAAGAAGAAGAAGAAGGAGAAGATGGTGGTGATGATATGCGATAGAAAAATGGCCTCCTAGAAGATAAGATAAGAAAGGAATAATCGAGAACAGAGACGTTTCTTGATTGTTCTCTAAAAACAAACACTATGAAGAATTCTTCTTCCGGTCGCGCGCGCACTCTTAACGGACCGGTACCTATATGAATTACCTATCGAACGTCAGGTTAGTCGTTTCAATTCTACGATTTTTTTATATACAAAAAATTCTTGGTTGAATATTCGAAAGATTTTGAAGAAAAGAATAAAAAAAAAAACAAGACGACAAATATATGAAAAAACCTCTATAGATAAAACCTTTTGATCGATTTTTTAAATTACTTATCGGAGATACTTTATATGAGTTAGAACCGAATGATAGTGATTCGTATTTGTTAATTATTTCGTTGTTTTCACGATATACCGAGCACAGCAGAAAAAAAGAAACAAGAATGACAGTAATAGTAAATAGTTAATAATAATATAGCAGTAGCCAATAATATAGTGATTAATAGTTTATTGAAATTAATTAACGGATCGTTATAATAATAGTAAACGAATAGAAAGTACGTCTCGTTTAATTAAGGAAAGAACTTACAAAAATGTTGGTGGATGATAACCTTTATGAAAATGAACGTGAGATGATGATGATAAGCTTTGTATGTGTACATAGTGTCGCTGTATGTAAGTGTAAAACGTGGTGTGCGATGTTATTGCATTAAGGTTTTTTTAGATATTAAATCAAGTTGAGTTGAGTGAAGAGAACAAAAAAAAAACAAGAATAGGAACGAGACGTTTTTATTTTCTTTTATTTATTTCTTTTTTTATTTTTCTTTTTTTTTTCTTTTTTAAATAAATACACATCGGGTGTCTCCGTTTGATAAAAAAAATTTTCTTTCTCTTCTGTTCGAAGTGCCTTTTAAAAAAAGTTCAATCGTGCGTTACGGTTGTCACGTGTGTGTACGTTCCTAAATTCTGTTATTATGAATGAAAGATCTATGGTAAAAAAAAACAAAAGAAAATGGAATAATGCGCACGTAATTTACGAACGATTAGTGCACACCGAACATTTATCTATCATAACATTACTGTTCCGAGATCATTGCTATAGCAATCGTTTCGTTTTTAAATCTTGATTCTTCCTTGTTTAGATTTTAAAAAAGGGATAGATGAGAAAAAGAAGTAGAAAAAAAGAAGATAGACATTTCGATCAAATTGTCCAATTTACTTTTTAATCACATTTAGGAAAAGAAAGACTTTTTAATTTGTTTCGTATTTATTTTATTCGCTTGATCGTTGGTTCAAATAAATCATTGGGATATATGATATGTGTATATAATATATTATACTATATATATATATATATATATATATATAACGAATTATATATACGAAGGATTTAATGAAATAAAACGATCATAGTTAAGTTAATAAATAAAACGGCCAGTTGAATGAAATCTTTGGGAAAAGTTGGTATCTTTCGTCCATTGACTTAAATTTTTACGAAGTGCTCGCGTTGGTAGCTTTGTTAGCCAAATCTTCATGAAAATATCTATATATAAAAATAGAAACAATACATACTGTATTTTCCAAGAAATTGTTTCGAAAAATTGTTTCGAAAAATTGTTTCGAGATTACTAACGGGGCGGGGTGGGGGGGTTAGGGGAGGGAAGAAAAATTGCTTCTATCATCTATTAGCAAAAAAAAAAACAAATTGATAATAACTAATCGCTAATGTTTAGCGCGAAACAAAATATCTATATATATATATATATAAATATTGTGTTTAAATATCTTTTACTAACGTTTTAGGATAAACATTATTGGAGAAAGAAAAAATATTCGATGCAGATTTACTTATAAGAATGAATAGCGAACATTATGTTTAAAAAAATAAAAGAATAAAAAAAAAGAAAAGTAAAAAGAAAAATTTAAAAAAAAAGAACAATAACGATTGATAAAGGAACGTTGGAACTTTTAGATCATTATTTTATCGTTTATAGCAAAAGCTTTGCAGAGGACTTTATTAGATACGCTCTATTTGTATTTGTGTCGTCGGAATCGGTGACGAGAAATCGAAAATGACTTTTTATCTTTCTCTCTCTTTCAAAAAGAAAAGAAAAAAAAAAAAGAAAATAATTGTGATGTAAATATTCCGATTAAAATTAATTGGATTAACATAGAAACGTGATTGATTATTTTAATTAGTGTCTTTCTTATCGTTCATTTGATTAGAGATGAATCAAATTATGTCACATTGTATTTATTGGTAATAAGATATTTTTTTTTTCTTATAAATATATTTAAAATGTTAAATTTTACACATGAGTTCAAAGTGAGAGAAAAAGAGAGAGAAAGAAAATAAACGTAAATGACGATTCTTGACTTTGCGTTCGGTGTTTCCCGAATGAAATAATAATGAAATAATAATGTAATAAAAGGGAAAAAAATGTGGATAGTATTAATAGTTTTTTTTCCCTTTTTTTTTTATTTTTATTTTTTTTTTTTTTTTAATTAGAAATTGTAAAGTATTCGCAAAATGTTTATTAAACAGGAGAAAGGATTCGTGGTATATATTCTTATACCAGCACTTCTTCTTTCTCCCAATAATTATATAATGCGATAATCGATCGGTGGAAATGTGTAATAACGTGTGAAAGTATTATGTATATGTTGAACGAACATTGGTGTTATACAGAAAAAAAAAAAAAAAATATACGATCAGAGAAGAGAGAGTGTCGTATGTAAGCAATAAAAAAAAAAAAAAAAGAAAAAAAAGAGGATAGAAGTGAGCAAAGCAAAATAATAGAAAGAAAAAACAAAGAAAATACTATGAAAGAACTGTACTTACTGTTACTTACTGACATTGATAATCGTAAGGGAAATAATAATTAAAAAAAAACAAAAGACGGGTTTTTTGACTTTAGCCAATGCAATAAAATCCGCGATAATGTGTTTAATCAGTTCGAACGAATGAAATTTTGTTGAAGTTATACTTCTTTTGGCGCGTTTTCGAAAGTGAAGTTAGATGCGACCGAAAAATCGACACCACGAAGTTGTCGATATTTACGATGCGCGCGCAAATTCAAATTATTTTTCAGGTTATTAAGGTATATAACTTACGCTAAAGAAGTATAACTTTTTTTCTTTTTTTCCTTATTACTACTCCACCTCGTTAATGGAAATGAAATAATAAAAGTCGGGAGAAGGATGGAGAGCCTTAGATGGACAAAACTAGCCAGACAAATAGTAATAGTTAATATATATATTATATATATTATAAAAGAAAATGAAATAATGCGTAATTATTAATGGGACATAATTCCTGCGTTTATACGATTAATATTATTATTATTATTATTATTATTATTATTATTATTGGTTTTCAATGGCAAAAAATGTTCATACAAGAAAAAAACAATCGTTCTAAGAAATGATATACTCTGTTACAAAATGCGAATAACAAATGTTTAACATAAACTGAATTTTAATACGAGCCTGTTTTGTGTGCAGATTTTCTCTTTTATTCCCGTCTATTATAATATTTAACCTTATTCATATATTATTTATCTGTTTATTTTATAATTAATTATGACGATTCTTGGAAATTGGAGTTATAGTTGTTTCATATATAATTTATAATTTAAATTATATTGCTTTTACAGGGTCGATAAATCAGGGAAAGGTAATTTCTACCTTATCAGAAACTGTCGGGAATTTTAAAAACCGGTTCTTTAGGGGTTGTTAGTAAAGTAGAAATTTTCTACGAAATTTTCTTTCGATAAAATAACAAATAAAATTAAAAATTAGGACTCCATTTAACTGAAATAAGTAAAGTCATATTCAGAGGATAACCGTAAGACTGGTTTATTCATTTGACGCATAAAATCAGCGTCACGTGCCACCATGGGGATTCACCCTTTTAGATATTTTTTAGATATTGCGATCTAATAAAATAAATGTTAACAAAAAAGTCACCAGATTTGATAGATCGTACGAAAATTGATTTATTTAAGTAATTTTATTAAATGGACAAGTGTACATATTAACCATATATAGAAAAATTTCATTTTTTTCGATTGATATAATATTATGTTTGCGATGCAAAGTAATCATCGTGATAAACGATGTGCAAGGAAATTGAATTAAAGTGATTTTTAAAAGTGGACACTTGGGCTATGGTAAACATAAACACAGGTAGAGACTAAATATTATTTTATTGATGCGCGCGTGCATATTCACGTAAAGAATATGAAAATTGTTCGGGAAGCTTTCAAACACTCGATATCCGTGCAGGGAGATAGTTCGATCCCTATTTTTAATCCTTACTAATAACAAAATTAAAATATTATTAAAAGTTCATCGAGGAGAAAAATATAAACAAATGGATATCCCAAAGATTCATCGAATAAACGTGTACGTACAAAATATTATTTTGAAACATTTGAAAATACTATAATTTATGTTCAATTATTTCCTATATAATATTATCGTAGAATGGCGAAAGAAACGTTGGAAAGATTTTTGACCGAACAAAGGGACATTTGCGAGAGATTCTTTCAAAATGGTGATTGTATCAAATAATTATATTGTATCTCAGTTTTTTTTTAATATTTTACTCGCGTGTAATTTAATATACACGAAATTTGTGTATAACTAAAAATTATAATTATATAAGAAATTACGAGATGATTAACAAAAACGGATATAATTACATTAAATACACATATCAAATCTGATAATTAATAATGATACAAAATGATATTATTTATTACACGCAGGTAGTCAAAGCGATGAAGAAATCGGGATGAAAATTGGTTCGGAAATTTCTCAATGTCCTTCGACCTTCGATGAATTATTATGCTGGCCTCGTACAGTTGCTTCTAAAAAAACTATACTACCTTGTCCACCGAGATTGATTTTAGGAACAACTTACGATTTATTTTCCTCATTTACACAACCCATCAAAGAATCTATTACGGAAAAGTTTAATAACGAATCGAATATTTTGAAAAAATGGAACAGTAGTTCTTCGTTGGCAAATAAATTTTGTTTGGCCGATGGTCAAGGATATAAAAATGATCAAAATATTGCTTGGAGTAATTATACTTTGTGCATAAGCACGAATAATTTAGGTACATCGTATCTTTGGAAATATGAAAAATTGGAGAATAGTTCTTTACTGGGTGTAAGAATCTTCTTCTTTTTATTATATGAAAAATCGATTACAAATTTAATTATAATTATATTTTTGCACGTGTGTATTTTTTGTTGTTGTTTATTTTTTTAAATAGAAATGGTTACCGATAATTAAAACCGTATCACAAATCGGATATGCATCGTCTTTCGCAACATTGTTAGTTGCTATGACAATTTTTACTATACTAAGGTACGTGAAAGATTTTTCTTTTCCAAAAAAAAAATTCATTCATTCGCAAAATAATATATTCATTTAAATTATGTGAATATTTTGGATTTAACAATAGAAGGCTTAGAAATCCGAGAAACAGATTACACATGCATTTATTCACATCGTTCATCATGAGAGCGTTTATGGCACTTTTTAAGGAATGGGTATTTGTCGATGGTATAGGATTGGCATGGGATGTTATTTTGGTTGACGGTGATCGTATTTTTATCAAAGAACGAAACGTGGGTATGATAAAACCAATTTAGATTAAAATCAAATCAAATCAAATGTATTAGAAATTTTGTTTGTTTGTTATACATTCAAATATTCATTGAAATAATTTTAAATGATATTTTTTTTAAACCTAGATGTTGGCATGTAAAATTATAACAAGTATTTGGCAGTATTTTATAGTAGCCAATTATTCTTGGATACTGATGGAAGGACTTTATCTTCATAATTTAATATTTATGGCACTTTGTGTCGATAACACTGCGATTACTTCTTACATTCTTTTAGGATGGGGTAAAAATTAACACACTTGCATTATTTATTTATTTTCTTATTATCGATAGAAACATTGATTGTGTATTTTGATTATTATAGGATTACCAGGTTTGGTAGTAATACCATGGATAATAATTCGTGCAACAGTCGAGGATACACTTTGTTGGACAACTCATCACAATCCTTCGTTCTTTCTTATCGTCAGAATACCAATAGTTATATCGATCTTAGTACGTTTATTAATTCATTACAGATATATTAACAAAGAAAAATTTCATTTCCTTTTTTTTTTTTTTATCGAGCTGTACAAGTATCATTGTTTTAAATATTTATTATTTTATTTTTCTAGTTCAATTTTGTACTATTCCTTAATATCGTTCGAGTACTTTTTGTTAAATTGAAAACGTCGGTTCATTTGCAACATAAAAAAATGCAGTATAGGTGAGTTATCAGTCATTTTTATTATATTACCAATGGAATATTAATTATTCTTGCTGACTTTTTATATCAATCTTATGTTTGTTAATATTCGTTAATTTGAATGAAACAGAAGATGGGCCAAATCTACGTTGATATTGGTGCCGTTATTTGGTGCTCATTATACATTATTTTTGGGACTTTCTTATCAAAAGGATAATCGTATCGAATTGGTTTGGTTATTTTGTGATCAACTTTTCGCATCATTTCAGGTATTTTATATTTGTCCTCTTAATGCGATTGAGATTTTGTGTTACTTTAATTTTTCTTTTCTTTTGTTTTACCTTTTAGGGTGCTTTCGTAGCTTTGCTTTATTGTTTGTTGAACGGTGAAGTGAGAGCAGAAATTAGACGTGCATGGAAAGTACGACGCTCGAAAAAGGATTCGTTGACGCCGATTAATCGTGATTTTTTTAAAATATCCGAAAATCGAACTGGATTAATATTACGTCGACATGATTGCAACGAATTGAATTTTTCCGACAGTAGGACTAAACATTTATCAACTGTGTGAGATTGCTAATATAAATATATAATTTATTCGTTCATTTTGCATCCTTAAATTATGATATTTACGAACAATTATTAATAATAATAATTCTCATTATACGTATATATATATATATATATATATATATAATAATATAACGATATATTAAATATATCATTTCAATTATATAAACGTAATATATCAAGATACACACGCAACTTTGTAAAATAATGATTATTATTAATAAATTAGTCGTTTATCGCGTTCACAAAATTAATAATAAATAGATTAATTGTATCAAAGGGAAGTTGGATAAGGTAAAAAAAATAAATTAGATTATCATTTTTTTCGATCTCGTTGAACATTTCGTCCCTTTATTGGGACTTTTTCAGCAACTACAAAATCAATAGATATTCAAGAATTTATACTTCAATCTTAAATATTCAGAGTCTTCTATGTGTTAATAATAAGACATACATTACTTAGTTTTAATAATTAAATACAATATGTATTTTTGTTTTAATAATAAAATACAATATGTACTCTTTTTTTGAGATTATATTGTAATTTTATGTTTTATAGTTGCCGAAAAAATCCAAATAAAGAGACGAAAACACGATGTTCTGATTTCTTTTGTTTATCTTGTCCAACTTTTCTGTTATATAATTAATCTAATTATTATGAAAAATTGTATACCCATATACGTGTCTATATTTAAAATGTGGATTTATTTAAAATCATTGAATTGAAGATTAAGAGAGCAACATAAAAGAAGAAGATTGCCTTGAAAAAAATGATTGGAATAGAGTGATATTGTGAAGTGTGATTTGTAGGTATATAAATGAATAAAATAGGATAAAAGGGAAAAAGGGGTTGTTTGTAGCCGCAAAGTAACGAGGTGTGAACTATCTCATGACACGAAAATAACATGAAAAGGCAGTGATGATTTCGGCACGTGTCATGTCAACGATTTTTCTTTTAGGAAAAGGGTGGACTCGTGTACGTGCACGTGTTTTTGTTAATATTTCGATGACGACTCGACACGTGCCTCGACCATCCTTAGTAATTTTCAATTTGTTTTATGAACAAAACCGCAACGATGCAATACGAATATGCAAATCGTTTGAAATATACAGTTTTTTTTGGTTTCTTTTAAGTATATACTGTGTTGTCAGAAAAATTTGAGATTAGTTTTAATAAAAACAATTCAATGTTTTCTTTTAATACATTTTATATTAACATTTGTTATTTACAAAATACAATTGCGATAAAATTAATGAGAAAAATATTAAAAGATAGATTGATTATTCAGATTATAATATTCTTTAATTTGTATTACATTTTTGTGTTCATTAATTCTATAACGATTATTAAAAACAACAAATTTACANTATATATATATATATATATATACTACCATGAATATCTTTAAAAATGATATTTATAACAAATTTGTGATAAAAATCATATTATTAATGAAAAAATAAAACAAACACCATGAAATAATAATTATTGGAAACAACATACTTCCGTTATAGCTGTCTCGCATATGTTGACTATTAGAAATATCTTGAAAGTATAAACAAAAATCCAATATAAATGTGCATACAAATCCAATATGAAATAGTTTAATTTGTTTAATATTATCAGATTGTATAAATTGTAAAACAACGTAATGGTAAATGATGTTGCTTCAATAACGGATATAAAAATTGGTAATCCATAAGCCTCGTTTATAATTTTACTTGATTTCATCAATTCCAAATGGATTTGTCTTCGATGGAAAAGAAAAAAAATGTATAAGTATAAGTATAAGTATGAAATTTGTAAATGGAGAAAAAGAATTAAAACATCATTTAGAAATAATTCAACTAACTTGATTCTCTTCAATTTAATAAGATTTTCATTTGCTTTATAAGTTCGATAAATAATAGATAAAGATGAATCATCTTCCCAATTATCTTTCATTCTAAATACTCTTTTATGTTGCGGTGAATTGACAGTTGTTGTTAACATTTTTTCAAGTAATCCATTCAATTCATTAAATTTCATCTTGATATATCTATATAGATATAATTGACATATATTATAATTTTCAAATAATTATTAATTATTATTCCTATTAATAAATATAACTTGCCTGACCCAAAATACAAATGTTAAATCTATAATATTCGTTACCAAAAAAGGATTATTATCAAAATAATAAAGCCGCAAGGTAGTAATTAAATCCAATTGTAAGTTGATTCTGGAGAACCAATAATAATCACCGACTAGTAAACCAATTATTATGAAAAAATAACATATGCAAGCGATGCATTGATAACGAATTAACGAAAAATAATTTCGTGATCCATTTAATTCGTTAATTCCTCGTGTACAACCTTCTAAATGTTTAATCAACAATTTAATATGCTGTAAAAAACCGAATATATAATTTATTTATCAAAAATTATTCTCGTAAATATATATATATATATATATATATAAATATTATATAAAGATAATAAAAAAACACGAAATGGATAATAACAAAGGGAGAATATGTTTGTACGCAACGAGTATGGATTTCTCCGAAGGATCAGGTGGCCAAAGTGGCACATCTGCGTCCATAGTAATAATACTGAGGTCTTCTCGTAAAACGACAGGCTTTTCTTAGAAAGTTCTTCGATAAAACGAAATTCTGTGTTGTATTCATGTAACAAAAGTATTGTAATACAAAACTATCGATATTTTCAAATCGTATCACAATATTATTACACGATTTAATGAAAAAGAAAGTTATAAAAAAGCAATCAATGTTAAAAGAAGATTGTTAGTGAAAAATTATTCGATAAAATACTTCAATCGATACTTGAAATGAAAAAGTAAAAAAGAAAAACCAAAGGGAATCAAACGAATGTAATGAAAAATTTGGAAAATTTAGAATAAAGAGATAAATTTACGGAGGTTTTGACAAAAAATAATTCTTCGATATTGCATGGTTACGTATGAAAATAATAATCGTTAAACTTTAAAAAGTATAATGGCGTACGGTAGGGTAGTGGGCGTTTACTTTTAATAAATCGTTGAGTTCTCATTGGCAACCATTGGATGCTGCGTTATCTCGACGAATAGGAAAGTGTTTCGTGGCTGAGTGGGAGGGGGAAGTAGGAAATCGTGGGCGTTGCTTGATAACGCAAAAAGGCGCCGGCGGAGTGGGGAGGGGGTAGGAGAGTTAGGGGTTGAAGAGATATAGACAGAGATAGAGATAGTATTCGATGTGAACATTTTCGACTACTACTCATCGTTGAGATTCTGGTCCAGCTAAATTTCTTCTAACTTCAAACAGTCTTTATCGTTCGTTCGTTCGTTCGTTCGTTTGTTCTAACGAAACTGTGTATCAGTGTAATTATTATTATTATTATTATTATTAAATATAACAAAGTGATTGTTTAACAAGATTGCAGTGAAAGTGACGTATCAAATTAATTGGAGATCAAATAAATTCGGTTACGTTAATATACGTATATACACACACACAGGTGATTATTTTCCAATTGTAGAATATTTGTTAAGTTGTATTCATTTGATTATATTATCATTAAATGAATTTTGTAATATAATTAGAAATTTTAGAAGTGCGTGATAGTTTGGAATAAAAGTTGATTTTGAAAATGGAAATGTTAACCGATTTAACATGAAATAGATAGACAAAGAAAAGGAATACTAAATCCGTATTGTATTTCGTTAATAATTGATGAAAGATGGGTATAGTTGAACATAGGAATTGGCTGTTTACTGGAAAAAATCGAGGGTTGTTTTTCATTGGTGAATAGTTAACGAAACCTATCTGGACCTATCTCTCGTTTTCAACCCTCGAAACGTTAAAGAAGAAAGACACGAGAAAAAAAAAAGAAGTAACGTAGGACGTTACCTGAATTATACAGTTTAGAAATTTTCTAATATTTAACGAATGCACCGATCGAATCACGTTAACTGGTAGTTTTCCCGAAACGAATCTGGCATCTGAAAGAAATTTAAGACACCCCGGAGATTTGTTTTTATCCCTCTCACGCTTTTGCCGTACATTTATTCACCCTCCGTTGTGGAATTTTGTCTACAAATATTTGACGAACTCGTTTAGCTCGAGGTCATTTCTTACACATTTTCACCTTATATTTTTTCCAATCCTTTTTATTTCCTTCTACGTTTAATCAAATTCATTAAATTAATCGTTTATGTATTTGTTCTAGCGCGTATTTAATGAAATATTAATAAATTCTATCATTTAATATTAATTCAATTATATTATATTAACATAATACAGAATTATGATAGATAATTTTATGAATGTTCAGATTTCGATCGATCGATGATGGAAAGAGGTGCGTTGTTACCGATCACGGATTGTTGCAAGCAAAATATTCAAGTACACCGAAGGTAAGAGGATCTAACAGGCATCTCTCTAATTCCATCCCCTTTTTTCCCTTTCGTAATTGATTATAAAAGAAAAAAAAGAAATAGGACAATAAAAAAGGAAGAGAAAACAGGAGTTTTGAATATAAAATACAAGTACGTGTCGAGTAACAATTTGTTGAAAAAACTTTCGATCGGAGACAGAGAAAATTCTATGGCGAATGGTGGCCATGGTGTCGTTGTCAATGGTGTGGGCGGTGGTGGTGGTGGTGGTGTTGGTGGTGGTGGTGGTGGTGGTCCAGGTTCGGGAACCCTTTCACGGGAAGAAAGGCGCCGGCGTCGAAGGGCCACGCAGAAATATCGAACGGCACACGCTACGAGGTATATAAAGAAATAAACCCTTCCCTTTTTACTTTTTTTTTTTTTTGGTATATTAGTAGTAAAAAATTATTTAAAAAAACTTGCCCAAAGAAGGATCGATTAAAAAAATATGAATTAAAATATGAATGAAATCGTAATCGCAGAGAAAGGGTCAGAGTCGAAGCATTCAATCTGGCATTCGCCGAATTACGGAAATTACTACCAACATTACCGCCGGACAAAAAACTCTCCAAAATAGAAATTCTACGACTTGCCATCTGTTACATCGCATATCTCAATCATGTTCTCGAAGCGTAAGGAATAATGATAATTATCTAAGATATTTTACATATAAATAACAATATATCTTTACGGTTAATTTAATTACAGTTAATATCATTTAAAGATTTGAAGAAAAGAATCAGGTCTTGAATAAAATTAAATTATAATATATATATATATATATATATAAATGATAGAGTTATGTGATAGTATTATTGTATCGAATGATCACAATCTATCGTTCATAGTTATTCAACTAGGAGAAGGATTAGTATTCGACCAGAATCGGACACTTTGTCGGGTTTTCTAAATCCCACGGGATCATGATGCTCTCTTCTCCCTTTTTAGCCACTCTCCTCTCTTCCTTCCTTTCTTTCTTTCTTTTTCTATCTCTTGTCGAGAGAAAGACTGTCCCTTTTAAACGCAGTACTATGAGATCTTTTTTCCCTACATCTGTTCTCTAACCTAAGTGAAAAGAAAATAGGATTATCGTCGAAGGCAACTTCACGCATCGTCGGAAATCCACTTCGTTTTCGATTTCCTAATACTTTCTATCAATTCTTTTTTTTCTTCCTCTTATGTCCTTCTACCCCACCTAGGATTGTTGTCCTAGACGAATTCGTTTAAAACGTGACGTAATCGATTCTCATTCATTTCGTATTTAATTTTCATTTATACAAATATATACAGGGCGTACCACATAACTTTAGTCAAGTACTAGTTTTTCAAGTACTTGAAGTGCAATTTATAACTCAAAAAGGTATTCTACGCGTAGACAAAAGAGTGCACTTTAATTTAATATAAAAATTATTAAAATCCGCTTGCTATAAATATAAAAAAGTATATTCTGTTACGGGAACAAATTTCAGTTTAATGTTAACTTGTAGAAAATGCAATGTATCGTCAATCAAGAATAGATTAACTTTTGTTTAAAGTATTTTTATCGCAAGTACTTAAAAAATCGTGACTACAGTTATGTGAGACACTGTAAATATATGTATATTATATTATATATACATGACTGCTAGAATGTTTCAAATGAATATATGAAATTTCGTATAAATTATGAATTAACATTTTGTTTGTTTGTTCGTTCGTTCGTTCATTTGTTATCTAATTTATAATTTTTCTATGCTAGAAATTAAACGATATATATAATAAATAAACTAATATAACAATTAATATCATAATTAATATAATAATATCTATAAATATACTCTTTTACGAAAGTGAATAATTTGTACAAATAAAATTTTAAGGGCTTTAAAATAAAAATGTATAAATTGGTGCAATGGTAGAAATAATACAAGTATGTATGTGAATAAAATGTAATGTCTGGTGAATAAAAAATGAAAGAAAATGTGAGCAGCATTAAAATTAGCATTAAAACAATATAATGAGATAAAAAACAATCGTTGATCCAACTTGACAGAAATGAACGAGCTGCAATAACAAAAAAAAAAAGAAAAGAATAGAATAAAATCCCTTTAGACCCTATCGAATCAGTTGACATTCGAGAATCCCTTCATTGATCGTGAGACAATATAATCCTTATATATCGTTTTTTCGCTAATACTAAGGGTGCAAGGAGGAGTTTTGAAATTTATAAATCATGTTTACGTTTCGTTAATATTACAAGTGTCATAGTACATCCCTTATGGTTGCATCTGTTTATCTCTGTGTGTGTGTGTGTGTGTGTGTGTGTGTGTGTGTGTATTATAACACATGTATTGTCATTCGTTTTAACATATTGCGATTATTGTAATTAATCAGTTAGCTGTGATTGACGATTATGGGGGAAGGAAAATGGTACGAATATTATTTAGGATGATTATATAAAACTATTTGATTTTTATATAATTTTTATTATAATGTATATAATATAAATATATATTATTTAATAAAAACGTATATATAAAACAATATTTCTTTCATATATAATTAATTTATAATAAAAATGTATAATCGTATTATCTTGGATATAAAATTATTTTAAGAGGGTTTCTTCTTCCCCTTCCCACCCCTTCCCCTACACAGTTAACTGATTAAAAGATTAAATAGTGAGATATGGTGTTTTTTCTTGTTTAATTTATTATTATTATTATTATTTATTGTCGAATATATGAAAAATATTTGACGATAATAATGAATAGAAATAAAATATTCAAGTTTCATTAATTATTCGTTTATTTTTTGTTATGTGCAACCATGTATACGAGCACACACAAGTTTAACTTGACAATGTCATTTGGCGTGTATTGGTAATTGTAATTTCATCGATTTGCAAATGTAATATAGCTTATCGAAGAAACTAGAACGCATTATAATATTATCCTTCGAAGACACTTGATCGTTGTTACTCGGTTGGCGTTGTCGTTAATACGTTCAACTATAATTTTCTTTTCTTTTCGTTTATTCTCGATATATAATTATTTTAACGTACACATTTAATTAGAAAAACAAAAGAAAAAAGAAATAAATTGATTATTATTTTATTTTCGGTGATATAATTTGGAAATTAATTAATTAATTTTAATTAAAAAAATATAAAACAAAAAAATACTAATGAAAGATCGGACAAGTATTATCACGAAAATGGATAAAAAAAGTTCGTCGAAGACCTTGAAAGATATTTTACGACCCTATCATGTATTAACAACGATATTTGGATTACGCGTATTAAAATTACCATCTGGCAAAACGTATATTAAATTAAACGTGATATATTCTATTATTTTGTTCTTATTTTATAACGCAAGTTGGAAATATGTATCATCTAAGAACCGACTATTAAATTTAAGTAACACCGAATATAATCTTATGTGTACTTTAAGCGTTATTATAGTAATCATTGCTATGGTCGTAGGTTTGTGTAAAAATCAGGTAAATATTTTCTTCTTGTTATTACCTTTTTTTTTTTTGTTTTTAATTTTTTCTTTTTAACACCCTAAACTCCCACACCCCTCCAATCGACCCCATAAGTTATAATAATCACGTTTGCGAATTTATGACACAGCAATGGGAAAGTTCTATGAGAAGTCTCGAAGAAATTGATAAAACTTTGCAATTACTCGGTTCTAATTCACGATTTCATAAGATTTATATTAGAACAATGATCGAATTCATATTCTTTATGACATATTTCTTCATTTTAATGTGTTTGGATGTATATATCACGAATGAAAGTTTGGATAATAGTAATATAGACAAATTACCAACCCTTTTCTTCGTCGGTTTTAACATATACGGTGAAACAGTTGCGAATACTGTAGTTTTGGAATTCTTGACAATAGTAAGGTAAGTAAGAATAGTCATTTTTGTTATAGAACAATATACGTATTTTCTATGAAATTTGAATATAAAAATATTGTATAAAATATAAATTTGGTAATACGTAGTATCATCATTTTGGTTAGTACGTACTATATTATTATACGTTCATTTATAATTAATTAAAAAAGGAAAAGAAAAATGATCTAACATTGATTACCTATCGTAGGTGTATTAAATCGGAACTCGAACGTGCGAATGATCTTTTAAGCGATATTAATATTTTACCGTGTTCGTCAATAGCATTGGAATTAATTAAATACAAGGGTAAGGAAAATTCGTTGAAAAATTTGATCAACGTTTTGCCATCGTCTCGAAGAAAAAATTCTCGTACGGATGTTAACGAACAAATTCTAATTCGTAGCAGACAATTGTTGCAAACGATTAGGTGCGTAACTCGTTCCATGTTTATTTTTTCTTTTCTTGTTGTTAGAAAAAAATAACAAATAAATAAATAAATAAATTGATTAATGAATAATTAATCACAGAAATTCGAGATGATATTTATTTTATTTTCAGACAAATTCATTTGGAATTATACAAAGTGTCGAAAAATACGAGCAATTTGTACAACATTCAAACGTCCATAGTAATCAGTTTATATTTTTTTTACAACACCTGCTTTTTTTATAGTTTATATTTGACCAATAAAAATTATGAAAATTCGAATGACATGTTGTACAAAGAATTTGCATCGATACCGCATTTCGTCATCAGTACTATATTTAAATTGATCTTCCTTAATTATACTTGCGACGAGACGACACAAAAGGTAAATTAGTTTTTTTTTTTTTGTTGATTATTTATTAATCCTTTATTTTCTTTCTTCATTGAATATTTTTAGATGGAACAAGTCAACGAAATTATTTATACGTTTTATGGCGAAAGTACGGATAATATGATACAACAAGAGGTTATATTTTGTATCTTTTTATTTTATTGCCCAATCCGTTTAGAATAATTTATCTTATTTTAATTAATTGTAAATTATTTGTTTATTTTTAATAGGTGAAAATGTTCACTTTGCAAACTGCACATTGTCAATCGACGTATTCGACATTTGGATTATTTTCTTTCAATCGAAAATACATATATTCGGTTAGTATAATAAATCATTTATATAAAACAAAAGAAGGTGTTTTATAAAAATAGTATTAAGAAAAATGTTCGATGATTTTGTTTTCAGTGCGTTGGTGTGATGATGACGTATTTGACTATTATGATACAAATGACTGATGAATCCAATCAATCGTCAAATTAACATTAACAAAGTTTTATTTTATAATAATTTCATCAATATAAAAAGGAATATAGATAATAAAATATATTGTACAATAACGAAATTGAGAATTATGATAATAAAATGAAAATTAAGGAAATAAAACTTGATATATGTATATAAGACAAATTTGTAAAAATGATTTGGATTATTTCAATATAATATATTGGTATCACATAACGAAGTAATATGATTATTTTAAAAAATAACGAACACAAATAAATTTCTTCAATAGAGTCCATCCTCGTATTGATTATTTAAACGATCAAATTATTATTATAAATATGAATTATTCTACGGAATTAAAATGCCAAAAAAAAAAAAAAAAAAAAAAAAAAAAAAAAAAAAAACGTTTTTACTCGTACTTTAATAGCAATAATAGTTAATGTACAATATACATCGCGTTCTAGTTGAATAATTAATTTTTTATTGATTTTCCTTT